CCTGGAGTAACAGAAGTGCCCGACAGATGAAGATCTTAACCGGACGCGTACTTTTTAAAATTATTTTCCCTCACCAGTCAACAGGATTATGCTTGTGTTGCAGAAGGTAAGGTGATTTCGAGTGCTGGAGGCGGTTGGTATGCTTAGGTTTCTCGCCTTCCCCACTTTCGCTCGACGATGCCATGGTGCGAAAGAGAATCAACGAGTACTTTTGGAAATTAACAGATAGAGCTGTTTTTCTTGCTGTATTGGCTTTGTAACTTAACACAACTGATGTGGACAAAAAGCGAGAAAACATATACATGAATGAGGAAGAAGAAATGACGGACGCTCGAATGAGATCCAGGGAGTTCAACCGAGAAGGCCTGGGCATAACCTCGGTTTCGTTTGTTGGGCTTCTCCGCTGATTACTGTTTGAAGGCGCCCACCTCGTTCACCAATAATTCTTTGAAAACTTATTATTTTACATGTCTCTGTGCTGCAAACTCTCCCTATAAAGACAAACTGCTGGGACCGACACTTAGCCTATGTACAGCTAGCTGCCCCCTCCCCTTTGCAGTAAACTCCGATTTTTCTTGAAGGAAGGGGGAGGCTAGGAAACCCGTAATAAAGGCTTAGTTGATCACGCCACGTGTATTAATAATTAAGGTAATCCGGAACCCTGGGCTTTGGAATCCGTAATCCAGTTCAAGGAATCCGGAATCCCGCTTGCGTTTGGAATCCGGACTCCATAGCTAGCCTGCGAAGCAGGCACTTGAAAGTATGAGAAAAGAACGAGGCGCGCGACGGAGACACGCGTATTTCCCTCGTTTCAGAAACCAAAACTGTCTTGGATTACATGGGACAATTGATCGCTCTGCTTCTGGATTTAATGAGGGTGACTTCAGACCCCACTTTAAAATAATGGCCCATTTTATAGTATGCCGTTGCTAGGATACCCCGATTGTCATGCAAGCCGGTTAGCGAAATTTGACTTCCGATTTTTGGATTGCCGGCAGTCAACAACCTGTTATAATGTTAAAATCGCCTCTTTTAATGTAATCGGAAAATATAACTTTAATCATACTGTAAAATAAGTCAGAGATTGATTGCATGCTAGTTAGAGTGCAACGTGCAACCATGAACTTCTAAGGAGCTAATAACGTGGATAAAATCTCTCAACAACACTCAAAGTCATATTTTTACAATCATCACACATCGTATGCAAGATGAACAGTGTAACAATCGCTAAGCAATTAGAATAATTTTTCAGTACAAAAAAAACAAAACGTAAGTTAACGAACAACTTGCATAAATATTATACCTTTTAAACTGTAACATTGCATATAAATAATTCGTTTTTTAAAATCTTAGCACTGGTCCAGCCAAATTGCTGTTAGGGACCTTACGATTCGACAACGTCGACGTTCATAAAAACCTCGCTGAAAAATAGACTCCGCATCCTTTCAAACCATTTCGCGATTATCCCAAGTCCCCCAGTTACTTAAAAGAAAGGAATTTATGTTGAAGCTAAAGAGAGGGAGCCGCACCCGGGTTCAGACAGAGTGGTAGAATTTATCGCTTTGCCGTTTCCGTCCTCGAAAAAAACTTAAAATTTGGTCATTTCACCCCGTAGTCGTACAGGGGCGGCAAAGAAATCTACAAAAAAAGCGTGATGCACGTGCAGAGTTATTCTTTTGCTTACTAAACGTATTGCCTTTTTAAAGTTTCCGTTGCCGACGCCGTTGTACTTTCGTAAGGTCCCTTTTAACGTACGATAAGGGGGAGCTACAGACATCTCTTCTAAGAAACCAGTTCTACATTCCCTAGCACAGCAAGTGTCCTCTGAGGACCAACCTTATGAATTTCCCTAGACACATGATCAACCACACCGAAAGGGGTTTCTCTACGAGGCATCCCTCTCTCGTCCGCAAAGGCCTCTTGGTACCCTAGGGAGGCTGGGGAGAGGCGGGAAAAATGAAAGCGCCCGGGGGACGATGGGAAAGGGGAAAGAGCGGAAGCTCCCGCCTTTTCTCTCTTCCTATCGTCCACCGCGCGATTACAGTTTTAAATTATTACTATGTAGGGGGAGTCCCTGCGGAGGGGAAAGGAGGCATCCGAGAACGATGACGCTCACAAAAGAGCACATTACGTTATACAAAATTACTTCAAATGTTTTAAGTATAAACATCTGTCAGGTGCCTGGTACCGGATTCAACTTTACCAGTTGCTTCGTCTGTCGATGAAAATAAACGTTATCTTTGCACTGGGACGAGTTTATACGTGCGGGTATTTTAAATCAACAACGTATGGGTTAAGAGCATTGTCTTTATACACCACTAAACTAATAACGTATGAGTTTGTGGCATTTTCTTTATACAGTACTAAACTGCCGGTAGGTTACTTATAGCTAATCTAATTTCATCTCTTCATTTTTTTCCTTTCATTTTTTTTCCTTTCATCTCTTCATTTTTTTCCTTTCATTTTTTTCCTTTCATCTCTTCATTTTTTTCCTTTCATTTTTTTCCTTTCATCTCTTCATTTTTTTCCTTTCCTGTTAGCAGCGGCCTTTTTAGTTGCAGGCCTCGACTCATCTTCGTCCTCATCATCATCATCGTCGTCGTCGTCCTCGTCGTCGTCATCATCGTCATCATCGTCGTCGTCATCATCATCGTCATCATCATCATCACCATCATCGTCTTCACTGTCTTCCGCCTTTTTAGCAGGCAAGGGTTTGCTAGTAGAAGCCTTAGGCGTAGACCCTTCTTCCTCTTCCCTTTCTCTTCTTTCCTTATTTTCCAGCAGCCGATACCACGCTTGTTTCACGCTGTGCATACGCCAAGCCTGATAGATTCCCCATCTGTTAATTTTCAGCAGAGCGACTCGCATTCTTCCAAGGCCGTTCACTTCTATTGCTTGGAACACCTTTGAATCTCGACCGTACTTGACGAACACGCGTCGAGAGTCTTGTAGGTAAAACTTGATAATTCCATTGATATCCTCCTCAATAAAATCGACGGCGTCACTCCGCTGAAAACAAATTCAAACAAAAGAGTGATAAACTTGTCATTATGTTTTATAGCCTGTCCCTAGGCCATGCCTAAATTTAAAGATCTCCAAATAAAGACGTAACATAAGGCACAGCTAAATAGACTGAAAATGACTATTGCATTCTTTGCGTGCATCTGAACCCCGGCCGACACTTTCCTGTTTTTTTTTTTTTTTTACTTTGCACATTGTGGTTCTAATTAATGGCCTACAGCAGTTCTTTTATGAGGTTTCAGTCAGTCTCAACAGTGAAAAACATCGGTTGCGAGATGCCAGCAAACCATTACAATCACAATTACGTTTCGGGCTCTCAAATAATGGAAAACGGAGGCGCCCAACAAATTTCGCAATTTGCGTGAAGAGTTTGCTCTAATCGTGCTCAACGTTGTTGAAGCCCGGCGTCCGCATAATCAAACAATCTACCCACTATTGAGAACCCAAAACGGTTTAAAGAGAGCAACGAGAAGGGGTGGGGGAGAGAAGACAGGAAGGAGAGATGAAATCGAAGGAATACAATATAACTCTGCACGTATTCCAAGCCTTCCTTCACACTGACATCTCCCTCTTCCTGGCAATCTCACATTTAAATACCCTGAAAAGTTGATTCTCTAGTAAAACAGCATGTCATTGATTTTCTAATAAACCGCTTGCTACAAGGTTGTCACAAGTCAAGAAATGGTTAAAAGCGTCATAGTACAGAGAGAAGGCGTCACCGTCCTCATTTCCATAGGGAGCTTAAGCGACGACGACGGCAACGGTGAATTCGCGCTGTTTTATTGCAACTCTTTGAACTTAATTTTTCAGGAGTTGAATTCTAAAGGACTGTATCTAAGTTCACAAAAATAAAAAGAAAATCGTTGTCATGTGTTCCTGCCCTCCATAAAAACTGTGAAACTAGGACGTTTCACGTCGTAGTCGTGCAGTGACGGCGAAGAAATGTACAAAAAGCGTGATGCACGCGCAGAGTTGTTGTTTTGCTATTCTAGACCTATTTCTTTTTTGACGTTCTCGTTGCCGTGGCCGTCGTCGTATGGAGTGACATGCGCAGTGCAAAACTAGGGAATCAACTTTTTTGATAGAGAACACCAATATTACTTAAGGAATTTACCTGCTAAAACCTGTTTAAATGCAAACAGTTTCTTTATTCTTTAAGGACTAAGCACTTTACTTCATGTTAAGATTTGTAATTTTACCTTCTTTCAATTTAAGAATGGGAGAATTGAAAATTGGAAGAACCAGATTTTAACGCTAATTAAATACAAGTTAACGTTTAATGTTAAAGTAAGTTAGCACCGGTCCGATCACTGTGAAAGGAAAAAACAAATTTTACAAAATATATTAAACATTAAAGTAAGTTATAAATTACATAAAAACTGGAACAAACTCAAAGTATGGACAGCGCCATTCCTAAACACATTTTAAATTAATTACGTTTTGGCTGTTTTGTTCGCTTGTTTGGAGGTTTCTAACCTTTACGGCTAGTTTACAAATGTTACTTCCTCAAGTACACGCTTTGCTTCTCTCTCACGTTATATCTATTCCGCAACTTAAGCGTACTTTATATGCAACATGTACCTTTAAAAATTCACGGTAGTTAGAGCTATGTAGTCTTTTACAACAAGGAAACTGTTACACTTAAAGCAGCTAGCTGAATGAACAATTCAACTTTTAAATTTACAACTTTTATGACAACCACTTGACAAACTTTTCTGCAAAAATTAGCCACCATCGTTAACTAGATAAAACGTGGAATGATGGGTCACAGCCGAGCATGACCGTGCAGAACTTTACAACTTTGCCTTCCTGGTTAAAGGTTTAAAAGGCCCGTGAAAGTACCGAGGTTTACTGAAACAACATTGCATTCACTTAGCTAACACTTAAATTAATCGTTGAAAAAAGCAGGCAAATTCACTTGTTAATGTTAGGAGAGATTGTCCTTTTTGGCTAAGTATTAACTAATCAAGAACACAATGATGTAACAATTTTTTACATTTGAAGGATTTTCGGAATCTTTTTTCACTTATTTAAACATGTCCTTTTAAGCACAGATTTGTAATTTAATCAGCGCTCTAACCGTAGTGTAGAAATCCTACCTGTCGTTATCTTTCTCTTATTCATTACAGCATCATAGGTTATTCCGCTAAGGTTTTTCATTCATTTGCGAGGAACACATTCACTTTCATAAAGTTCATTCCCTTGGACATTTTTTTGAGTCGAAACTACGTAAATTTAGTTGATCGATAGAATTATCGCATTTACAAATCCAAAAGAGTGTTAATTTTCACAAAGTTAGACCAGTTGGTATATCAGCGAGCTTGTTAAGTAATATTTTACCCCAGATTTTATAGGATAGTTAGGTTCTTGCTTTGTTTGGAAGAAATCAAAAGATTTATCGTTTAGAAAATACAGGTATCTTTAACGTTCAGTGATCTTTTTTTGTATCCTTTTATTTTTTTTCTGTTAACAGGAAATAAGCGCTTCATGAGAAAAAGATTGCCCTAAAACTTAATTCACAATATTTCATGTCAATCGTTTTATTTTGTTTACCGTAAAGTTCCAGAAAAAGGGTTTTAGTTTTCTATACTAAGCAATAAAGTTTACAAGGACCCAAGAACACTTTTGTCAAACTTTGGACATCACTTTGTTCATCAGACAACAAGTGAATGCTGAAGATAACGAAAGCAACAACAACACAACTGCATAGTCAAACATGACACTACTACACACGGTTTGAGCAACAAACAACATACTGGACTTTATCCGGTCTAACTGCTCCCTCAGTTCTGTAATAGAGTCGCCTCGCTGTTCAGTGTGGTAGAAACAATACATCAGTATACTACGCACTTCAAAACAAATCACTATGTAATGATGGACATCCGTCGGAGCTAGAGAAAGTGACTCGTACAACCAAAATTAAACTGAGGTTATAAGAGAAATCTACAGTTACATTTTGCACAATCAGCTTAATTCTAACATTACAATAAACTACAGGGTGTATTGACCAACAAATGGATTCTTCAAACTAAAATAGAGTGAGCCAAAATGTTACAGTTAGTAATCTGTGTCTTAAAAAAGCGCTTCCAAAGCAACATGCTGTGAGCAATTCACGATCGATACAATAACTACACAACCAGCTGTAGAAATAGATCCCCTTTACCCCTGATTTTTCCTTTACCTCTGATTTTTCTGAAAGAGAAACTGTTTCGTCGTAAGGCTGTTTTCCGTATAATCACCCAACTCCACTCAAAACGTGTTCAGACGATCGAGACATTCTTATAAAAACACCTCTGACGCCAGACGACCCAGACGACTAGGTTTGTAAAAGATTGTCTCGATCACCCGAGTCCTCCCAAAAAATGCTCCGACGATTGAGACAATCTTCCGGAATTCACTGATTTCTGATAAGATGCAGCACGATCCAGACGACTGGGTGGATCGCAATCGCCTGAATAGAACTGAAGTCTGTTTACTGACTGGTTGCAAAACAGTCGTCTCGATTCTCTTGATCATCACAATCGTCCCAATAATCGAGGGGATTCGAACGATTTTGTGGAAGTCACGCTTGTGCTCCACAGGGTCTTAAATGTAAGGTTCTTGGTCACTAAGTTCGCATAGGTCCTCTCTTTTGTCAAAACACTTCAAAACTCCAAAGAGAATGTCATTAAACATTCAATAACTCAAAATGAAAACCACAACATGGATGACCGTCACATGAGAGGATTAAAAAACTCTAAAAGGAAATTTTTATAAATAAGTAGATATACTGATAGGCAAACAAACAAATAATAAATAAATATAATAACATCAATAATGCCCAAAGAAGGATACCATCAGGATAGCCGAGCCACAAAAGAACCAAATTAGTTACAGAAAGTTTAGTTTAATATGGCAGCTTACCGTCTGTGCCTCTGACAGTATTTTCTGCGTCAAAACCGTCCGTAATGTCTCCACAGTATTTTCCAGCTTAGCTACTTGTGAAGAAGTCTGGAATTGAAAAATCCATCAATGCAGCTTATGATAGTAAAAATTAAAGCCAGTTAAAAGGGCCGCCGGGATAGTCCCGGTTTCGTTATAAACTAGCGTGAAAGCAAACAACATAGTGGAATGTATGAAGACACTTTGTGATAACTTACTTGCTGTACATCCTCCTCGAGTTTCTGCACCTTGTTTCGCAGGTCTCCTGTGTCCTCCTCTTGATTGGCTTCTTCAGGTTCACGCTCAGGTTCAGGTTGGGGTTCCTGTGCCGGCGGTGTGGGCTGACGTCTGAAGACAAACCAGGCAGAATTTATCCATTTACGTTTTAAGGAAGATCAGTCCCAAAATATCCAAACCATAACTCTTAACCCCCTTAAAATTAATTATACTTACTCTTCTGCTTTTCTTCTTTCGGCCTCCTCCTTCGCTTCGAGCTCAGCTTTTAGTGCCGCAAGTTGGCTCCGGAGTTCAGCAATCTACAATGTCAGAAAATAATAAACAACAATTTCAGCAGAAATGCAAAATAAAAAGAAAAATTTGTTTCAACGGCGTCGCAATGCATGATTTCTCCTAAAGCACGCTAATGACGTACGGTAGGGCGTGTGCTTCAAGGCAATACAATAAACTTGCTTTGACCAGACACAGCAAACACACTACGCTGACGAGACAAAGACATATGTCAGGCTAAGTCACCATTAAGTCAGCCTATCGAAGTTTAATTATGCAGCTTTAACGAAAATTGTGAAAGATAGGCGCGGGAATACGGTGCGTACTACATTTGATTGTATTCCGGAATAAGAATACTGAAAGGTTTTGTCACAAATCTCTTGAACTATGATTTTTGGACCACTTGAAAGCTAAATACATCAGAATATTTTATTTCAAGCAGATTTCTACTATGCAATGAATGCCAAAACAGCACTACAACAACGCTATTTCATTGGTAGGACAATCCGCACGTAATTAAGGTAGTTTTTATTCATCTGGAAAAAGATAGTCTTTGATATTAACTTTGGCTAGACGTCATGTCCGACAACACTTAAGATTTCGTCGGACAAGGATCATTGTCCTGTGGACGACTGTTTAATATTAGAGATCTTTTGATTCGAAGACGTGGAGGACGAGATTGACTTAAAGTTTTTTCGAGGATTGTCATAATGCAGACACGAACACGCAAAGATTCATGTAACTTTTTTTTCACCAGAAAAGTTAACACGGTTATTTTTATTGATTGAAGTAAAGCCTTATCACCATCCCAAAAGGATAAAACTATGAACATCTGATAACTTTTGTCTGCTTCTACGACAATCTCAATCTCGCTAACACTCGTAGTAGAATTACGACGGCTACCACGTTTTCCCGCAAAAATAACGCAAATTCACGCACGCGCACTACTCAGTATTGAGAAAATCTCTCTCTCATAGTCATCTTCGTCTTAGCATCTAAACGTCTGTATTTTCAACTTTGATAAACATATCACAAACCTCATCCGGTAAAGGCCTTAGTTTATCTTCAACATCTCTAAACTGTTGGTCAGTATCCTCTTTCCAACCAGCTACCTCCCCTAACCTCCTGTTTCTCTCCTCCTGGTCAGAATTTCCGAGCTGTAGAGAAGTACAGTGAACAATTATTTAACAGTTATTGTTTACAATATAACGGGACCTTAAGCAAACTAACCAAAACAAAAAATTTCGCGATATTTTCTTTTATTCCCATTCGCACTATTTTTGAAATGGAGGATGAATATTCCTGGGGACCGCACGCGATTCTAGCAAACGGTTCTTTGGACCGAACGACATTACCTCAATTCAAACTTCGATTTCAAGAAGAGGTAACTGCAGAATACAGTACACCCCTAAAAGGGTAATATTAAACTGAGCAGAAGTCACCCCTTTATTATATGCATTTTATCGTAGGAAACGCAACTAGAGTTACTGCTTACTACTTACTACTTTCCTCGTGAGTAAAAAGACGTTAATTTCTAGTGATTTTTTAAACTAATGTTGAATGTGTATTGTGCTAGATACACAAATACATCTTTACACGGCGTTTACCACATACTAGTGTAGACCCATTTTTGTAGGAGTATAACTGCGAAGTGTTAAGGTATTGTGCTGTTTAAATCTTTTTAGCACGTGCATTTTTTTTGCCTTTATTTTTCAGATGCAGTGTGTAAATGGTCAAATTAATCACGTGGGGTGCTTGCTATTAATTCTCAGTGAATTATTGATTGAAATGAGATTTTACCTCTTGTGTTCGGCCAACAAGCGTAATCTGCACATTACAATCAACACAAAAAGGCTTAAAGTTAGTCATGTTATAAAATAAGTAAAACTTAGAAAGTATTCAATTGATTAATGATTATTTTAAGTTGAATTTGCCTCTAATGATTTTTGCATTTATCAGTGCCAATTTTGTTAATTCTCGACTGGAATTCTACTATCAAAAGTTAAAATTTGTTTATTTATTTATTTGTTTATCTATTTATTTCGAAACACAAAGTTAATGCGTGAATTCGGAAAAAAAAAACATAATTTAAATGAGCCACTAACAGTTTTCAGTTGCATTGTTCGTTTCTGAAATCGTAACAAAGACAAAAATATTTTTTAAGAACTAAATGATTTAAAGCGTTTTTAAAATTTTACTTTTTATCACAAGAAGAACGACATCTGTTTCTTTTCTCTTCTAAGAGCATAAAACATGCGTATTTCAGGTGGGGAGAAACTGCTCATAACCAGTTTTCATGGGCTTATACTACTTCGTAAGGGGTTTTAGTTTTCACTTTCAGTTTAACTGTTTGCCAGAAAAAAAAATACATATACATACAGACATTCAATTTATTACAAAAATGTTATTTAAAGATTAAAGAGACGTGAATTATAAGTAAGAGAATTAAAAGTATTTTTCTGGCGAGGAAGCTCAAATAGAGACCTTGAGGCTTATTGAATGAGCTTCTGGGGCTTATTGAATGAGGGCTCCTAAACAAGGGGGTGGGGCGGGGGGGAGATTAAAACGGGAATGAAAAAGCGTTTCAGAACAAGCTACATAGCAGTACTAATCAAAATACTTTTTGAATTTACTAGCTTTTTTAACCTTCAAAACGTCATAAAACGTCGAGAGCTCTAAGCAACAACGACGGTATCGGCTACAAAAACGTCACTTAAAAAAGTGAATTCGCGGTGCTTCAAACTTAATCACGCTTATTCCATCTCGCGTTTAATTCATCAAATGTTTTTGGAGTTGAATTCTAAAAGACTGTATCAACGTTCAGGAAAAGAAAAAGAAAGTTGATTTCTTGTATTCCCGTCCTCGACAAAACGTGAAATAAGGCACTTTCACGTTGCAGTCGTGCAACAACAGCTCAGAAATGTAGAAAAAAGCGTGATGCACGTGCAAAGTTGTTGTTTTGCTAATATAAACCTAATGTTTTTTTTGCCGTTCCCGTTGCCGTCGCAGTCGTCGTTGCTTCAGCTCCCTTCCATAGTTAACGAAAACGTTGTTTTTTACAAAGCTGATCAACCACCAACTAGCCACGAATTTGGTCATTTTGTCTTCGTTTTTCTGCACAGCTTATAAGACTCCATACCTTTTCAAGTTTTCTCATGGCTTCCTCCAAATCTGCAACTCTCTTATTCAGCTTCTTTAGCCTTGTATCAACATCAGCCAGTCCTTTGACCCCTGAGTTGTTGTTTTTGTCCATCAATGACTTCAGCTCCTCTTTTGTCTTAAATCCAAACAGAACACAAGATATTCTTTATAGCACTCGATCTAGACTATAATGGCCAGATAACATGTGTTGAAGAATACCTTCTCAAAAAGGAAAGCGAAGTTCACTGTTAAGCCAAACATTAATTTTAAAAAAAGCATTTACATGAAGTTTTAGGCCCTGACCATACGTATACGTTTTTGACTGAAAACGGAGATTTTCTTTCTCCGGTTTGGCTCACCGTCCACATGTATCCAGTGAAAACGGTCATCGTTAACACATCATTTCAAAAATGCACTCCAGAATGGAAATTTTTAGAAACGCCGGCTTTTCGTTTACGTGCAGATGGACTAAGGGCCTGTTTGGGTGACCCGCCACGGGTTACCTCACCTGCCTGGGGTCTCCCACCTAAGTGTAAACAGGCCCTAAAAACGAAGGTTTTCGAATATGATGATGTCATGCATCATATATGGCAAGCATTAGGCATGCTCTGTGAGAGATGCTATCGTACTTCCATCCTTTTAGCGTTTTCCTGTGAACGGGCGAAAAATATATCCGAATACCCTACGCGTGGACGCGAATTTTTTCGCAAACAGAGAAAAAAAAATCTCCGTTTTCAAAAAAATCCGGATACGTGTGGACGAGGCCTAAATGTGAGACTAGAACCCAGTATCTACCACCTCTGCATGCCCCACCCCTTTAATCAATTACCTTTTCCACAGTCTCAGCGACCTGTGAGTTGATTCCCGCCAGCGCTTGTTGCAATGTACTGATCGCCATGTTGAGTTTCTCCTGCAGCTGGTTGCATCTGTTGGACAGTTTATCACTTTGGGACTGTCTGGATATAAGGTGATAGAAAACGCAAAATAATGAGATAATATATAGATTTAGCCAAGGTTAAAAGCGTAGCTCTCCTTTAAATAGTTATAATTTACTTGAACAAAAAATAAACTTGAAACCACTGCGAAGAAATCTGTCAAATATGAGCTTAATATTGGCTCGATCACAAACATGCACGTAAACTGAGCCACTCTAGCACAAAAAAAAGTCAAGTGTCTGAAATGTTATCGCACACCTGGGTAGTGCTTCTGATTGGTTGAAGCAAATTTCCACGCGGCACGACCAACCAGAGGCACTACCCAGATCTGGGTAGTGACGCGTCATCAGTTAGGAATTTCTGTGTTTGTTGCTCAGACGTCATTTTGCGGGGAAACCAGTGGTAGCGTCACCAAATGTCGGCTGTTTAATCGGGCTAGGAAATGTTATTATATTTACCTTGATGTGATCTCGGCATGTAACACCTTTTCAATTCCCTTTCTTCCTTCCTCCATTTGTCTTTCCAATAAAGATATGGACTCATTCAGACGTGCAAGGCTCTGGTCAGTTCTCGCTTGGGCCAACTGAAAGAAGAGATTGCCCAGTTACAGAGACAGATAGTAACACCCGTCTTATTATGTCAGTAGTATCCTATTTCCATTTTCAGCTTAACATACAGCTGTAGCTTAAACTGGAAGGCGCTACGCCACGACGATACTGCTGTTTTAGGCCAATTCTGTGCTGAAGTCATTGCTTAGTAAGCCCTAGTGCATTGATGAATACACAAAATGCTCCTATATATCAGGGGCATCCAACGACGGTTTCCTCCTAAATGCATTGAAAACACTTTTTTAGGCTATCCAGAGTACTTTTAGATCTCTAAGAATGTACTCTAGGTGGTGCTAAAAAAAATTTATCTGTTGGGTCATCCTAGGACAACTTGAGTCTCGACTCTTACAAATTCAGCATNTTTAATCGGGCTAGGAAATGTTATTATATTTACCTTGATGTGATCTCGGCATGTAACACCTTTTCAATTCCCTTTCTTCCTTCCTCCATTTGTCTTTCCAATAAAGATATGGACTCATTCAGACGTGCAAGGCTCTGGTCAGTTCTCGCTTGGGCCAACTGAAAGAAGAGATTGCCCAGTTACAGAGACAGATAGTAACACCCGTCTTATTATGTCAGTAGTATCCTATTTCCATTTTCAGCTTAACATACAGCTGTAGCTTAAACTGGAAGGCGCTACGCCACGACGATACTGCTGTTTTAGGCCAATTCTGTGCTGAAGTCATTGCTTAGTAAGCCCTAGTGCATTGATGAATACACAAAATGCTCCTATATATCAGGGGCATCCAACGACGGTTTCCTCCTAAATGCATTGAAAACACTTTTTTAGGCTATCCAGAGTACTTTTAGATCTCTAAGAATGTACTCTAGGTGGTGCTAAAAAAAATTTATCTGTTGGGTCATCCTAGGACAACTTGAGTCTCGACTCTTACAAATTCAGCATTATTTTCCTGGAACTTTTAGCTGCAATTTGAAGTTTTATGAAAGTGAGAATTTTTCTGATTCCTCTCTGCATCGCATTTTAGGTAACGAAAATTTTAGGTTTCTTTTTCCTATGAAAAATAGCTTGGGGAGTGAGAGGGGAAAAATTAAACTTCAGAAAATCATAGGGAATTTTTTTAGACAAGCTTCGAAAATTGGACTTGAATGGAACGTTCACCTAGAAATTTTTAGCCTTGCTTAAGGTATAGAAAATTCTAGGCAATTTTTGCTTCTCCGAACAGATATTTCACAGAAAACAGTCATTGGGTGCCCAGGCGTTATTTAAGAAGAATTAAGACATCAAAAAATTTTCGGTGGGGAACACTAACAATAACAATATTTTGGTGACTTGTAGAGGCATGGCATTAAAACTTGAAAAAGTTGGCCCAATTTTTTCACGTTTTTCAATCCATGTCCATCCATAGCAACAGATGACATTCAGATGGTAGAGCACGGAGAAAAATTCACGAAGAAAAAGAATGAGGGAAGACTAGAAGGGGAAAGGGGGAGGAATACACCCCCCACTGACCGCCGCGGTCTACTAATTGAACGCCTGGAACAGGCTCTTTAAATGCCAAAATATGGCCTTAAATAACAAAACTGGGCTATTATTCATGCAAAGACACGTGTTAGCTTTTTATAAAGATAGCAAATAGCATGACATATATATCCCCTTTAAAAACAAAACATTGTAGATCACCTGTTCTGAATGTCGCAAGGTTTGTGCCTCATCATCAGTATAACCTTTCAGTGACTGCCAACGTCTCTCCATCTCCTCTCTTATTGATCGTTCAAACACCAGTCTTGCGGCCTGTTCCTCGCGTAATTTCTGACAACGACAAAAAGAGATTGACTGAATTGTTAAATGATTTGTTAACACTATTACACATTAGGAGCTAGCCTGTGAACAGCCTCTCTGTTTGGGAAAAGGGTGAACAAATCGCGAGGAGAGGGAAGGGCGATTTTTTCACCCTTTCCCCAAACAGAGAGCCTGTTCACAGGCTAATTAAGAGCCAACAAATGAAACCACTACTGACCCCAAAAATTACTGACAGCAGCTGGTTGATTGTCCAGAGGGAGGTACTCCTTATAATGGCCTATACAGGGAGGCTCGGCAACCGAAAAGGGGTTACTACCTTTTTCAGGCTTCAGGTATAATATCAAAGAGTAGGGAATTCACAAGTTGAAGTATATGAAAGGGGGTAGGATATCTATCATTTAAGTATTTAGGTATGTTAGAGGGGTACAGTTTTTCAATACAAGGTGGACAAAAGGGGCACCTTTAAAAAATGCTATGTTAAAGGGGGATCAAAAGGTTTCTGGGAAACTACCCACCTACCCCTCCCCTTGGCTAACATTAACCCTTACTTCTTGCTTAGGGTAAAATGATGGCTTAGGGGAGGGGTAGGTGGATAGTTTCCCAGAAACCAAAATTGATCCTAAAAGGGTTAGGGGTTGGACCTCGGGTAGGAGCCTCTTGTCTTTGTTCAGTATCCCCTTCCCCCCTCCCCTCTAGGGATGACTGATACTTATAATTTTAAAAATAGTTGAGCTGTTTAATCTGATTTTAGTTGTAACTACCAATCTTTCATCCTCCTGCGAATGATCATTGGAAGTTTTGAGTGGAGGGAAGTCTAATTTCAAATTTTCTGAAAGAAATACCAAAGCCTACATGTAAAAGAGAACTAATTCCCCTCCATAGAGGACACTAGGGTGTGGCCTGAATACTGGAACTTTATGACACATTTGTCACTTTCACAAATTCTGGGACTGTTAAGTACCAGCTAGGGACAGGGAAAAAATTTGCTAAAAGCTGACAAGCGCTGCATTCGAAACAATAATTGCGGGACACATTTCGGCTTCAGTTCCCGTCATATTTCCAAAGTGGGGAATTGAAGAGAACATTGGTTTACAGACCTTTTCTAACAGTACAAACTTGGATTGAGCATCTTCTCTTAGTCTTATCTCTTTTTGCAGCATCTTTTTGCTTTGCTCTTCAGAAAGTTCTGCAAGTTTACTGGCAATCATGGTTCGTTCATTCTCAAGTAGGTTTTCTCTCTCCTTTGAATTCATAGCACTCGCATACATTTCTTCCTCCCGTTTATTGTTGCTTTCTTGTACAAAAGCTCTTAGCTGCTCAAGGCTAAAACAAAACAACAATAGTTGTTATCATCGGTCATTAATAGGTGAGTTCAAAAAGCACCAAGCTATATTGATTTTGAAAAGGAGAACGTGGTCTATAAAATCTTTTCTAGAAAACACCTGGCCCTGGCTGGGTAAGGCTATCTACTGCATAAATCACTTTCCAAAGGACAAGTATTAGAGAAACCAATAGCACTATCCTCTGAATTATAGATATTAATACACTCCATAGTGTTATCCTCCTTTTGAATGACTGGGGCGAGATAGTTACGTCACTTCAATTACTATTGCGAAAAACATTTGAGCATTATTTAATATGCCTACTTGAGTTGGTTCTGTTGGTTGGTAACCCTTCTCTCATTTTCTTCTGTTTCAATTCGTCTCCTAAGTTCTGTGGTTATTTCCTTCATATCAGCCAACCTGTATGAAGTTGAAAGTCATAAATATATGAAGAGAAGTCAAAAAATAATATGTTGTGTATACCATATTTATTCGGCTATAAGCAGGGCGATTTTTACACAAATTAAAGCTAAAGTACAGTGAAATTTGAGCCCAAGAGGGGATCTCGGCTCAAAGCAAAGAGTTAAAAAAAGTTTTTCAGTGCATAATTTGCAACTCTACTAAATGAGGATGTATTTACTTATAAGCTGAGCAAATAGCCCTGGCAAAAGATCGAATCGATCGCGATTATTAACCATCCACAATTTGCCACACATTGTTAAAAATTTCAGTTGCGTGGTATGTACAAAGCTATTAAAAGAAAAAACATAATATTTGACAAACACCCTCCAAAACGCCCACTATAACTGTCTTACCCACTACCTTTACCCTCATTCTACTCTGCTAATCATACCCACTGCTCTGGTTAGAGTGATGCTAACCAACCTGGTTTCAATGGCATTCTTGAACTGAAATGAGTTTGCTTCTTTTGTATCCTGGTCGTCACGGTGTTTATTTAATGAAGACAACTGGAAAACCATAATAACAATAATGTATTTTGGGTTGTTTTATTCCCAAGGAGNAACCCTTCTCTCATTTTCTTCTGTTTCAATTCGTCTCCTAAGTTCTGTGGTTATTTCCTTCATATCAGCCAACCTGTATGAAGTTGAAAGTCATAAATATATGAAGAGAAGTCAAAAAATAATATGTTGTGTATACCATATTTATTCAGCTATAAGCAGGGCGATTTTTACACAAATTAAAGCTAAAGTACAGTGAAATTTGAGCCCAAGAGGGGATCTCGGCTTATAGCCAAGAGTTAAAAAAAGTTTTTCAGTGCATTGCAAATCTACTAAATGGGGATGTATTTACTTATAAGCCGAGCAAATAGCCCTGGCAAAGAGGGAATTGATCGTGATTATTAACCATCCACAATTTGACACACATTGTCAAAAATTTCAGTTGCGTGGTATGTACAAAGCTATTAAAAGAAAAAACATAATATTTGACAAACACCCTCCAAAACGCCCACTATAACTGTCTTACCCACTACTCTTACCCTCATTCTACTCTGCTAATCATACCCACTGTTCCGGTTAGAGTGATGCTAACCAACCTGGTTTCAATGGCATTCTTGAACTGAAATGAGTTTGCTTCTTTTGTATCCTGGTCGTCACGGTGTTTATTTAATGAAGACAACTGGAAAACCATAATAACAATAAATGTATTTTGGGTTGTTTTATTCCCAAGGAGGGAAGTAAGAATGCTTAATTATGGAGGACCATTGGGAGGCCAAGAATTGTATCAGATGTAAATGAGAAATAAAAAAGATTTAACAAGAATTAGTATATAATTTGCGTAGGAGAAGGTGTCACCTTCCTCAGATAAAACGGAGAGATACAAGAAAACTTTTGTAAATAGACTTATTTTTAAATATAATTTAGTATAGTATTATTCTATCTTATATTACTATTATATTATATCATGTATCTTTTAATACTTTTTCACTGTAACTTAGGATACGTATTTTTATCCTTTGATTGAATAAAGACAATTATTATTATTATTATTTTGACGTAAGCGTCCACATACTTACCGCATTACTGGTATCGCCTTCCAGCTTTTTTATTCTTTGTCTAATTTCCTGTACCACAGTTCCAAACTGAACAGTTTGAACTTCATGTTTGCTTTTCATTGTTCTCACATCATCAGTTACAGCTCTCATATTTTTCTGCAGTTGCTCATAATTTTCTCTTAGGTCCTCCACGTCATCTCTCATACGCTCAACATGCACAGTTATTTGTTCTCGTCGACTCAATAACTGCTGTTGGTTTCCCATTAAAGCTTGTTCTACTTGCTTTGTGTGGTTTACAAGTGAACCAACAGTATTGTGTTCTGATTCAATTTTTTCCTCAGCTCGGGATAAGCGCATCATCATTTGGGTATATAAGTTATTTGCTGCTTGAATCTTTTCTGACAGGACAAGTCTTTCCTCTCGTTCTTCTCTCAAAGTGTCCTCGTTGCGTCGGATACTCCCTTTGAGTTCTCCTTGCAAGCGGACTAGTTCCTCTAAGAGGGCTTTGTTTGACTGCTCACCTATGTTCACTCGACCTTCAAGGTGTCTGAGACGCCCACCTTCGTGAGATGGACTGTTTCGCCGGAGAGACTTCTCTGTTGAATCTGTTATAGATGGCAATGAATAGCCTTGGGGAGCTCCAGTTGGCCTATTGATAATAAAAGAAAGATAAAATAATATTAAAAATTGTTTGAATATCAAATGTTCTTGGAAATACCGACAAAATTATAATGCTCTGGCTTGCTGACTCTTGTATATGTTTTTAAAAGGTTATAATGGACAGAAAGAGGGACTCATTTCCTTATCAGCCAGGAAAACAAAAAAATCTGATTTGGGCAGGAGAGAAGGGTGACATATAGAGTGACAAAATGTTGGCAAAGGTATCCACAGTATGGGATGGCTTCCGAATAGCTAGTAGTGGATGGATCTTGTTACGCTTACATTGGTTGCTTTCTGTATATTTTTTCGCAAGACACCGAAAAATACCACATAAGTTTGGTGGAAATTTAAATTATTGGTGTAAATCGACAGAACTTCTCTCCTGGGGCAAAATTTTCTGACAATCTCCTTTTGTATACTAGTACACAAAAAGTCATGCTACATGCGGCAAAGAATGATTCACTGAGACTAGGCTTAAATGCCACATTATCAACCCAGTCCATTGCTAGGACAAAGCTGTAACTTCTAAAATATGTAGCACACCAATCTGCTATTAATGTTATCCTCTATCGATAGTTTAAAACGTTCAAACAAATGAAACTTAAGCTAGTTATAACGACGAGTACATGCATGTATAAGCTTTAAAATGAGGAGAATTGGATTAAAATCTCGAGGTCCTTTTTATCCTCCAGCTCGGCTCATACTCAGAAAAGTATTAATGCAAATCAATAATTCCAGTGGGACCTAAATTATTATAAGCTTAACGAAAAGAGTATGACTTCAGAGTGGAGGATATAAAGGTGAAANATGGATCTTGTTACGCTTACATTGGTTGCTTTCTGTATATTTTTTCGCAAGACACCGAAAAATACCACATAAGTTTGGTGGAAATTTAAATTATTGGTGTAAATCGACAGAACTTCTCTCCTGGGGCAAAATTTTCTGACAATCTCCTTTTGTATACTAGTACACAAAAAGTCATGCTACATGCGGCAAAGAATGATTCACTGAGACTAGGCTTAAATGCCACATTATCAACCCAGTCCATTGCTAGGACAAAGCTGTAACTTCTAAAATATGTAGCACACCAATCTGCTATTAATGTTATCCTCTATCGATAGTTTAAAACGTTCAAACAAATGAAACTTAAGCTAGTTATAACGACGAGTACATGCATGTATAAGCTTTAAAATGAGGAGAATTGGATTAAAATCTCGAGGTCCTTTTTATCCTCCAGCTCGGCTCATACTCAGAAAAGTATTAATGCAAATCAATAATTCCAGTGGGACCTAAATTATTATAAGCTTAACGAAAAGAGTATGACTTCAGAGTGGAGGATATAAAGGTGAAAGTCGACTTGTCAATGAAAAATTCAACGCACGAAGAGGTGGATCTTGCATCTACGAAATAAAACATACCTGAAATCCATGTTAAATAAAGTTATCTCACTTTTTGCTGATCTATTTAAAGAATCGAATAGAAATTTTCGACACAAGAAGGCATAGAAACTCCTTCAGTATGATTTAAGTCCGTCTGATAAGCCGCCATATTTGTTTGCAATAAAAGGTGTTTTTTGATTGGTTCCTTACTCCGGTTGCCCTCGAGACGGTGATTTGTTTGGCGGTGAAAGGGATACCCGGGAAAATCGTTTAATTTTCAATAACTCCGTCGACTTTTTTCTCTTCCTTTTTTTTACGTTTTTCAAGATGTAACTTTTATTGACTTCTACACTTATAATTACTTCGTCTCAGTGTATACGTGACTATCATGTAAAGGGAGATTATATTTATAATAAATATATTCCTTGTTTTTCTCAATTTATATTTCCCTTCCATCTAAAAGCATCAAACAAAAATGGCACCTGTAAACTCATCATTTATTTAACACTATCGCTATCCTTAATGCATCTTCTTATACATTACAATCCCCGAGAAAAGCTAAACAATCTGAAAAACTGCCCCCTCATACCGCGAGTAACACGAACGATAAATAAATTTAAAAAATTTAAATACATTAAAAAAAATTCACGAGTTGTTCGACTTCAAAGCGCACACTGCGAGTCTTAGTCTTTCAAAACCAAAGTGAATTTCAGTGGAAAGCCTTGAAGTTTTCATTTATGGAAACACGATATAATGTATCAAGGTGTCGCAGATCTGAATGTTACCTAGCTTGACGATGAAACACGGTTTTTCGGTGCGTCTCTTAGAGAAACGATGTATACTCTTTGGTTACAGGCGACTACGGGGGAATTCTGCAAATCAACGTTTTATGTAGTTTTTGAGAAGTAAACTGATATTTGACCCATTAGCAATTACATTCGGAACATACTTTGAAATTAACTAACAAGGAAAAATTATTGCTGAGAACGTGTATGCCCAAAATTTATAATTCGTTCATTGGGTTGGAGTCTGACCGTTAATTGATACATTATTACCAACATCATACATTCATGATCAGAATTACCAACTTACTAGAATGTGAGATGTCGCGTGCCATTACACGCGCCTCTCACGCTCTTGGAACGGATGGAAATTCTTCGAAATTTCGTCAATCGGGCGCAATGCTTAAAATTGAACTCCAACATTTCCAGTTATAATATTCAAATCATGTCAAATTTGTGGATAAATCGGAGTGAAATGTCCAAAATAGGCCTGGCCTTCTTCGGTTGTACTGTGAAAAAAGTGAAAATGAAGTTTGTTGATAGGGTATTGTATCATGAAAGTAAAGAGAAAACTTTTATGTCAGCTACAAGAACTTTACTAGAGTACTGGCCATGTTACTAAAAATGACGTAAATGGTAAAGAGAGTGAGACTTGCAAAACATAAGAAGAGTATAAGCAATATTTTTTAAAATTCTAAGTAGTCCTTCGGCCTAGTATCTGGCCATTTTGGATAGGAACAAAATAACATCAGAAAAACTGCAGTAACGACACAAATATAACTCAGGCTATTCGTCTGTCTTCTTCTACATTGCAATGTTGTCATCATTATATGTGCTACTCTACCCCACAACTAGCCGACTGATCTTAACGTGGAACTTTCTCCATACACGCTCAAACGGAAAACAGCTTTAATAAAACAAAGGAGTATCATTTTTCGTCCTTTCAGTTTTTTGTTTTCCGTTTTAAGGTAGTGTGGAAAGTAGAGTTGACCGCATTGGTTTATTCAGCTATCATCGCGTTGCTAGTCCTTCAAAAAAAATTGACTCATTTTGCAGAAAATCGTTGACCGCATAAGGCTTGATGTTGATGCAAACAAGAAACATTAAAAACGTTCTTCTGCAACGCTCCTTTCTCCCATTGTGTGCGTCCGGAAACAGAATCCGATTCTGAAAGCACAGTGTTTTTTACGGTAGTTAAAAATACTCGGGCAAAACACCATGTACCCGCCATTCGCGGCACCTTCATGTACATATATAGTTAAACCTGTATCTTGCTTTTTGGCTAAACACTTTTTGTGTTCGATAACACCACGAACACGCATAGATTGGTTCGATGTGAAACTGAACTGATCCGGAAGACTAAAAATTCTCAAAAGTATATAAAATAAAAAACTGCCATATTGTATTTGTTTTATTAAATGTGAGATGCGTATGAGTTGAAAACACTCAATCAGTCTATGGCGATAAAAAATTACCGAGTCTCACACAAAATTAGTACTGATTGATGAATTGAAGGTTTCCGTAGCTCGAGTTTTTCTTTTATAGTTCTGAAGTGCGCATCTTGGAGACGACTAAGCTTTAGCAAAATAACCTATTCCATTCTCACTCGACGGATTTTTTTTGAAACAAAGCTGTTTTCTCTTCAGTATATTTTAAGGGGAAATAGCCAGAAAAGTGCGGGTCCGAAAAGTCATAACAATTCGCTCAGGCATAGAAAGCGATTGCATGCTACCAGAGTGAATTCTAAGAAAATGTTACTATTTTAATAGTATTAAAATACTGCAACTACCGAATTTATTCAGCATCGAAGCGACTTAATTGCTCATCTTTTCATCCAGCTAAGAAAGGATATTTTTAATTTTAGCTAGGTCAACATTTCTCAATTTATATTTATAGCCTTTTTTAAAAGTAGAATTCAATTATTGGTATTAATCCGCTAAACCTCCTGTAAGCTCAATTGAATGTTATTTTTTAAGATGAGATCACTTCGAATATAGACAGTTTAAGACTGGAAGCACAAAAATTAAAGAAAAAAAAACTGTTATTCTGTCTCTAACCTTGGTGTCTTTCTTCGAGGTAAACAAAGAAATTATAAAAGAAAAGCGTACTCGCGGATAGCGTATTAAAAGCTAGACAAAAAGAGACACATATAAACAAATACCTTTTCCGTGCATACGAAATTGAATTTGGTGCCCTGTTCCACGGAGGATTTGCCATCACGAAAAAAGCTTCATTCGTCTCGAAGCTCTTGAAGATTTCCCACTTTAAAATGAGATGAGACACTGGTGAATTACATCTTGTCGAAACTAAGCCTTTCACAAAGACTGTCAAATGACTAGGGTAAATTATACGTAGCCTCCTTTGGCTATGTAAATGTACAGGTGCCGGTGATACAATCCTACTTTGGCATTGCCATGGCAACAGTACACAGATGCGTTTTTTTGATCGATAGGTAAACTGCAAGCAATTTGAATTGTATAAATTGAGCGAAGTTGAAATATTGATGTTTTATTGTGTTATAAAAACAATGCATTGGGCTTTAGGTAACCCCGAAAAGTAAATAAGTTGGAATGTCTATTCAGTAGTAGAAATTTTGCAGTCTAATTGTTTAAACGATGGAAAAGCCACGTTAAAAGTCAATCCTATGTTTTCCTTCGTCCAGTAAAATTAAGATATCCAGAACTCGTAAAAGGAAGGAGCAAAGATGACTTTATTTTCGCAAACAGACTGAAGTCGGGCCGAATATCAAAGGCATTGTTTATGTGTCACTATTATAGTGGAAGGACGGCGGCAATCGTGAATTGAATATCAATACAATTAACGATGAGTTGGCTTCGACCCTAACAACCAATATTCATATTAGGGACATGTTGTAAAACTTGAATAGGCTGTATAATACTACCAAGTGCAAGCGAGAGAACAAACATGAATAATAAAAAGATTATCTGAGTAATCTGCAATGAAACGAAACGTATTGTTTAGTATCCTTTTTTCCAGTCTATTTTAAATTTGCAAGCGAAATTGCTTAAGGTCTAAAATATTTATTTAGGAGTACCCTATTCGAGGTTCACATGAGCGTCTTTCAGGATTAAAACGGAATATTTTTTGTAAATGCAAAATTGAGCTTTTTCTCGTAAAAAATTACCCGATGTTTTGTATCGTATTTAACAGTCACCGTCGCTCATGAAATGTCTACACGTCTTACAGCTCCACTAAGCTGAGTGTTAATACACTCGAGTTCTAAGTATAACAGTGTTTTGTCAATTTAAGAATGTCCCTTACTCGCTATTAAACAAACACGCTTCTTCATCAGCATTCAAACGAAATAAAATACTTTTTCTATTCGTTTGGGAACTGATTTTTGAGCTTTAAAAGGCTTTCAAAAATTCATTAATTTCTCGCCAGAACTTGAGTGTTTTTGGACTCACCCGGAAATTGCTGTTTGTCAAAACTAATCGTGTACAATATATCACGTGTGAAACTGTCTTTGTACATGGAATAATGCATGTATTTCCCTACATCTGACCTTTTAGAAGGTGAAGGAACTGCTTTTAACCGCTTTTTCTTGGGTTTTCCTCCAGTGGCCATCACTAAACAATATTTTTGCCCCCCATTAGCATTTTGCTTCTCAGGTTACACTGGATGGAGGAGATGACATATGAGGCACACGTACTGTGCTTAATTTTGTATATTTGAAACATAATTTGTTCAATAACAGGTTTGTTTTGAAATTTGCATAAAAATTGCTCAAGTAACGTAGTATCTTGTTAAATTTCAATTTTCCCTTGCAGGCAGCCAAGACCAGGCAAATGCGTGGAAATATAAAGCCTCCCACGCGCTCTCACAAACCGGTTCCAATAATTAACAATTATATATTGGATAAGGCTGAGTGTTATCCGAAGAATTATGGAGATCGAGGAGGGCAACACCCTCCGAAATCTCCATAATTCTTCAGATGATACGAAAGCCGAATTCAATAGCTGCTCGATGTCGAGTTCATAAGAAATATTTTGAATGAATAATGACCCATTAAAGAGCCTTAAATTGGCTTGGGTACCACACAGGAAACAAGAAACCTGACTCCCACGTGAATTAAGGAATGGCTCCTCAGTGATATCTGACTTTTGTCATTTTTCATTTTTTCTCTCGTTTTGTTTCGTGCTCCTTTATACTTTACTTATAACTGTTCCAGAATGAAAGGGAATACTTTTAGTGGTTACACTGCTGTTTTAAAACTTCACGTGATCAGCCATGCCAATGCTTTTGCAAATTTAAGACGAAATCCACCAGGAAATGGAGTAATTTTAATTTTCAGTGGACAAAACCCTTGTACCAGAATATATTAAGCCATATCGCATTCTTTTTTACACTTTTCAAGGACTACAAATTTAATAAGTTATATGAAATAACTCCAAAGAAGAGGTCCGTAGTATAGGCAAAAAACAGAAAAACACCCCTTACAGGTGTACTGTCGCAATTTGTAATAATCATCGCACTTTGTAATACCTGTCGCAATTTGTAATAAATCCATCGCACTTTGTAATACCTGTCGCAATTTGTAATAAACCGTGTCGCACTTTGTAATAAAAAAGGTGTCGCAATTTGCAACAACTGTCCATCGCGCTTTGTAATAAACTAAGCTGTCGCAATTTGTAATAATTCCATCGCATTTTGTAATAACTTTTTGAGAGTAATTAAACTTACTTCGTCAACATTAATATAACGCCAAAATATGCATGGTACGTACTTCAAAAACAAAGATAAATTGGCAACGTCGGAAAAATCGGTAACCTTAATTTTCCTGTAACGTATGAAATCAGATGTGTGTGTGTCACGTGACCACTTAAGAACTAAAAATGGAGTGGCGAGATGCCACACAGTATATATTAAATACAGTATTTTTGTTATTATATCATCATTTCTGGCTTGAATCTGGCCGGAATGGTTGACTCACTTTTTTATTTAATTAGCAATTAAGCAAAATAGGTGACGTGACACTTTTCACCTGTTAATATCTTTTTAAAAAATTATCTCCGTTCCGGCCACGGAAAAAATTCGTACGGTAACATGCTTGAGTAATTGCAAAATAGCGATCTTAGGCCCGGTTCAGGCACCGATCTTTTCATGAGCCGAACCTAATTCGAATTAAGGCCGATCCAAATTATTTACTCCACCGTCTGAATTGATTCAGACGCCGATCTTAACTGCAGCTGAACTAAGGTCAACTGGCGGAAAATGCTCATTTCGGTCAAACTGCGTACAAAATACGTTATAATAATTTATGCATTAGGCTCGGTACATGAAAAGTTCGGCGTCTGAATCAAAACCGTTCCAAGGTTCGTCAAAAGGCGAAATTCTCGGCCAGGCTAGGCGAAAAGAACGGCTGAGCCGTTCCAAATTGAAATAGGCGTTCCTAATTGATTCAGACGCCGAACTTTTCATGTACTTAATTCAATGTATTAGGTTCGGCTCATGAAAAGTTCGGCATTTGAACTGGGCCTTAACCAAGGTTCAGTAAGAACGCAAGGTACTGCAGCGTACCGGATAAAGTCGAGTTTAAAAAGTGTGAAATAAACAAGACGCTGTGGGAGCGTATACTTGGGTGCACAAAGACGCAGTCTCAAACGCGACCAAGAACGGCCAATGGTCCCCATTTACACGAGCAAGTTTCCTGGACATTCTGTTGTTGTTTCAGTTGTTGTTGCGTTGCCCTGTTTTGTTTATTTGTTTGTCTTTTTGTTTTATGGAATCTACACTTCTGATTACGACTCGACTCCGACTACGTCGCTAGTGAAAACCAGCCTTAAATAAGCTTTAATTTTTATTTCCTTGAAGAGTTGTTTTAAACCCAGGTGTGCTTAAAATAAAAGTAGCAGACCGAGATCTGAAAGGCTAAAGTTTTAGACGATATTATGGACGATTTGTTAAGTTTCGCGTACATAAGGTTGGTGAAAAATACATGTGTTTTATTGACCCAATACAACCAAATGTTTAAAAATAATAATAATGATAAAAAATAAGGAAAGTAATGAAAGCCCTAACGCTTGTAAAATAACAGTCGTTGCAATAAAGAGACTTAAAAGCGTTTTTCCTTCCCTGCTGTTGTGCTCAATGCCATTTACAGGGTTCTGTCTCCTCCTATATCAGCGCGTTGAGCAAAGCGGCTGAGGTGAGTATGGGTCTTTTAATTTGAGTTGCTATGATAGGCCACACAGCGAGTCGGTAAAACGTCTTTTCTTTGTATAACATTCAAGTTAAATATTACTTGCATAATATTACTTGCGTATTCCTCCTCCGAACACTTAAAACTGGGTTTGTGACGTCGTTAATATATTATTTGATTAGTATGTGTAATCAAAGGGTGACGAGTGAAGGGAATAATTTCACGTGCGTTTGGTCCAAATCCTAATAATAGGCGAGGGAAATTATTAGGATTTGGACAAAACGCAAGTGAAATTATTTCCTAATTTCACGAGTATACCATTTGACTACCTATTAATATAATGGGTGACGAATTACGTTAGCAATCGAGAATTTTTTACCTTTTTATCCTGGATCGTATCGATCGAGAACTTCACTCTCTCAAATGTTAGTATGTGTAATCAAATGGTGACGAGTGAAATTAGGGAATAATTACACTTACGTTTTGTCCAAATTCTTATAATTTCCCGAGCCTTTAGGCGAGGGAAATTATTAGGATTTGGAAAAAACGCAAGGGAAATTATTCCCTAATTTCACGAGTATACCATTTGATTACCTATTAATATCATGGGTGACGAATTACGTTAGCAATCTTGGATTTTTGACATGTTTATCCTGGATCGTATCGAAAGCTCCTGCACTCTCTCGAACGTTTAGAGCTTAAATTTGGGTAATGGGTTCATGATTTGGCTTAGGTTCAGAGTTTTTCGACAAAATACCTATTAGAATCCTTCTTGATGTGCTCTTTCGTGTGTTCAGGTTTCTAAAGCGTCTTTTTGTGCCCTGACATCTTCATTCATGACATTTTAAAACTTCGTCGCCATCTTGACACTGAGACGTACGGAAGGTTGCCATGGCAATTTTGTAATTTCAAATTAACGCTGAAATTTCGCGCCAAAATTAAGGAGTAATTCGTCACCTATGATATTAGACCTTAAATTCGGCTTAAGTGCAGAATTTTTGGATAAAATACCTGTTAGAGTCCTTCTTGATATGCTCTTTCGTGTGTTCAGGTTTTCTTAAGCGTCTTTTAGTGCGCTGACATCTTCATTCACGGCATTTTAAAACTTCGTCGCCATCTTGACACTGAGACGTACGGAAGGTTGCAATTAAATAATTTCACATGTGAGACAAATTAGAATAGGTAATAGCATGGTTAGTAGTGATATTTGGCATAAATACCACGAGTGATATTTCAAAATTGTTATACGTAATTTCACGAGCCGTTAGGCGAGTGAAATTTGAGACAATTTTGAAATATCACAACTGGTATTTATGCCAAATATCACGTTCAAATCATGCTATTGTTTGTTTATACTACTACCCGCAAAAGGTTGTAATTTTCACATGTAGGTATTTCAAATTAAGCTGGAATACCACTGCTCTAAGCCAATCAAATTGCAGAAATTTCTTATGTAGCAGTATAAACGCTGAAATTTCGCGCCAAAATTAAGGAGTAATTCGTCACCCATGATATTATAACAAAAACCTGCGATAAGCTTAAAATCCTATAGGATAATGGGTCTGTAAGAACGCTTTTGATAAATTTACGTTCCTTTTATTTGCATATTCAGTCAGATTTAGATTACCGCAGTTTGTCGGAAACCTAAAGGTTCTTCACCTTCCACAGTTCAGTTGTTTTTTTTATTGACTGCTATACTAACATACTCCAAGTGCTTATTACCTTAACAGTTATCCTTAAGTCTTATAGTAATAATTCTGTCTATGGCTATCGTCTTGTTAAGAACCCTGAAACTTAAGAAAAATATCTGAATCTGCTCTTATTAAACTTGAGGGGGAGGTACTTCTTCCACGTAGATCCGGGACACTGATTTCCAGCCTGTGGCCGCATTAGCAGAACCGTAACCTGAGCAGTTGCCGACCCAGAATCCCACGCGCACAGTGCCTTTGTGAATTTTATCGCAAACTCCTTCGACGTGACGTGGGCGGTACAAATTGTTTATTCTGCTGCCAGCTCCGAGATGCATATAGACTGTCGCATCAATAGCTGCTGGGGCCGAACACTCTGCGCCATTAAAGGTGAAATACCATCGCCTACAACAGCTGTTGCAGTTATAGATGCGGAGGTGCCCACTCCAGTAGACACGCAGCCCTGTGTTGTCTGACGTCTTCTTGAAAATACATTCCTGTTGAAAAGATTGGAAATGAAAAAGAGAGCAACCAAATTCAAGATTCTCAGGGTCATCTTTTTCTGTGCTTTTCAAAAACACGCGAACTCTGAATTTTAAAAGCCGCCTTCCCAACTGCGTTTTTTGCTGCCGCCAATCATAATTACGAACACAAACAACGAACCTTAAAACACAGAAACACACAAATTGATCGAAATTCACTAATCACAAATCACTTCGTAAACTTCGGTTTCCTTCGAGGTCCGCCAATATGATTTACGGCAGCGAAAAATGCAAACATCAGTTGGCTTTTCAACTTCAAAAATTGAATTGAATTGAATTGAATTGAATTCAGAATTCGCGTGCCCTAATTTGGCACTTTTTCATGCTGTAGTACATGGTGGGTAGCTGCCTGTCCCTGGCCTGCAGATGGTACGGAAGGCGCAAAGAAAATTGAGCAGGAAAAGAAAAACAATGAGAGGGTACCACTCCACTTTTGTACGCCTGGAACTTGACAGATTTCAATGAAGGTACGGTAAACGGACACTTGAATCTGTGGACAAAATCCTGTGATGGTGTTACCAATCACATTAAAACTGTTGAGCAGTGCTTTATAATATCATTTGTTTGCAAGATTTTTCTTCTTTTTTCCATCATGTTGGAAGCAGAAGAAATAACTTATTAAAGAAATGAGCAGCACGGGCTACTGGTTCTAGTTAGTCCAAGCAAATTTGCGAACAGGACCTTCAAATGGAATTCTATCGTTCTAAATAAAACCCAAGTACTGTCAAACTTTTTATTCCGAGGCAAACTTTAGCATTTACCTTGACCAATCCAGAGTCCCTGCCATCGTTCAGATCCTTGAAAACGCACTGTTTCCAATTACGTGCAAAAGACCCTGGAGCCCCCTTGGGACCTGAGGGACCTTGACTTCCAGGAGGACCTGTATCACCTTTCTTTCCAGCGTGACCCGAGGGTCCTTGTGGTCCCTTGGGACCAGGGGGTCCTTGGCTTCCAGGGGGACCTGCATCACCCTTGCTTCCGAGTTTGCCTGCTGGACCCGTTGACCCTGTACCTCCTTTGGGGCCTGGAAGTCCCTGTTTTCCACGGGGTCCTTCATCGCCTTTGACTCCTCGTGGACCCATAGATCCTTCGGGTCCGTTATTCCCGGGTGATCCCGTTATACCAGCTGGTCCCGCGGGTCCCGGGCTTCCTGGGATGCCCGGTATCCCCGGTGCGCAGAAACACGGCGAGTAACCACAACAGCCATGTTGTGAATTCTGTTGAAGAAATTTGAAAAAAATAAAGGATCAATGCATCATTCATTCTCTTTGATTTGGAATTTATGCACTTGGTATGTTTGCTCCTTGAATAACATTTGAAAAAGAAGTAAATAAATAATTGACAATAAATTTTAACTAATAATAAATAAATAAATAAGTAAATAAATAAAAGCCGGTGTAAGCTAAGAACAGTAAAACAAGACTCGCGAGAAAGAGTCTACTTTAGGCCGCTGACGCTACATGACGCTCACTGCTAGATTCACTCACTCACTGACATATATCAAGTCCATCATTCGTTCAGTTGAGCAACAAATCAACTACTAATCATATTATTGGTGTTCAACTATTCATTTCCTGTTAATTTGCATTATTCGCGCTCGACTAGTGGACTATCCATTTCGATTTTGAATTTTACCATTAATATGTATAAAGTGAAGCGGCCTGAAACATGTCTAGATATCAAAAAAAAACTATTCTCATACTTTCATTGATTCCATCCTCATTCATTCCTTTTTTTCTGGTAAATCATGCCGGCAATCATCGACCATTCACTTTCTCGATTAATCACTGATATCTAATTAAGTCCTGCTCCTTTGAAATTTAAGAAATCAAACTCACCTTGTTGCTGCTGTTTTTACTATTCGCAGAACACAAAGGGATCAGCAGTAACGGTACTATCCATAACATAATGGCCAGTGGTATCTTCATACAGAATGGCATGATCGCGCAGAATCAAACTATGGGATGAATATATTGTTCAACAATCACCACAAAGAGAACTGTGTTTTTAATTCTTCTCATGGAGAATGAAGATTTTTACGTGTATTCGCTTTTTCTTGCTCGCTATACTATCCTCGAAGAGGACTGAAGGCTACTAGACAAGTAATCTTGTTAGTTATTGAATTCTTACTCTTTCGAATAAAAAAAAGATCAAAACAAAACAAAACGGTTACAGGAATCAATCCGTTAGGCTTCCGCAATTCTCCTTTTTTCAGGTTTGAGAAATAAAGAACAACCTATGCGATTATAATCATCCTTTGTAAAACCAATTTTAGCTTGTTCGTAAAAACGCGTAAACAGGACGTAGTACTAGATTAAAAATAACAAAAACTGAAAAGATTTACATAGGAAAAAATGGCCATTGCTAGTGAAATATCTTCAGTGGTAAAGCAAACACAGTTGAAAGTTGATAATCTAACCTGAAACGAGCACTTCAAATTGGAAAATTACATTGAGCATCTTAAGAACTGAATTTTTAGCTACTTAGTACAGTAAGTCTAGGACAACTAAAATACATGTACCAACCTTAAATTGCTTGTATGGCTGTAGTCCGGCGTCCGCAAAAAGTGATGAATGGTTTAATATTATTGATCTTTTATGTCATCTTGTATAGTCATCTTTAGAATAAAAACATGTTTTTAGCACGTTCAAAAGCTTGTAGAAAGAATATGTCAAAACAAGGTAACATGTTCTTATTGGTTAACTCACACCAAGCTGACCAATCAAGGCTTTCGTTTTATTCGGTAAGTTACGAGTTTGAAACAAGTTTAAGGACCAGTGACGTAAAAAACATGAAAAAGGACAAAATTCTTATTGGATAAATCATTTCTGGATTGACTGAAAGTACAATGGTATACCACGTTGCAAAACCTCTTTGTCAGTTTAATTGAGTTCAAGATTTTATACCAAAATAATTAAGAAAACAATTATTATTAGTTACGTAATTTATAAACTACAAGTTTACTATCACAGTTTTATTAGTTGGTATACGACCCGGTTCCAAATCGCAGGAAATCCCACCCCTCTTCCCCCATGCACACTGAACTGCAAACAGTGCAATTTAAAAGGTTCGTTACACATACCTTACCACGGCGATACTTAAGACTATTGCGACAAAAGTGATCGCATTATAGAAAAGTATACAACCCGGTCAGTTTCCTATTTTAACTCATACACGACTCGAATTTTGCTCGAAGAGGGAGTAAGTAGTCAAAGAAATAATTTTAACAGTTTTCCAGATATTCTTTTTAACTACAATTACGTGCAAAAGACCCTGGAGCCCCCTTGGGACCTGAGGGACCTTGACTTCCAGGAGGACCTGTATCACCTTTCTTTCCAGCGTGACCCGAGGGTCCTTGTGGTCCCTTGGGACCAGGGGGTCCTTGGCTTCCAGGGGGACCTGCATCACCCTTGCTTCCGAGTTTGCCTGCTGGACCCGTTGACCCTGTACCTCCTTTGGGGCTTGGAAGTCCCTGTTTTCCACGGGGTCCTTCATCGCCTTTGACTCCTCGTGGACCCATAGATCCTTCGGGTCCGTTATTCCCGGGTGATCCCGTTATACCAGCTGGTCCCGCGGGTCCCGGGCTTCCTGGGATGCCCGGTATCCCCGGTGCGCAGAAACACGGCGAGTAACCACAACAGCCATGTTGTGAATTCTGTTGAAGAAATTTGAAAAAAATAAAGGATCAATGCATCATTCATTCTCTTTGATTTGGAATTTATGCACTTGGTATGTTTGCTCCTTGAATAACATTTGAAAAAGAAGTAAATAAATAATTGACAATAAATTTTAACTAATAATAAATAAATAAATAAGTAAATAAATAAAAGCCGGTGTAAGCTAAGAACAGTAAAACAAGACTCGCGAGAAAGAGTCTACTTTAGGCCGCTGACGCTACATGACGCTCACTGCTAGATTCACTCACTCACTGACATATATCAAGTCCATCATTCGTTCAGTTGAGCAACAAATCAACTACTAATCATATTATTGGTGTTCAACTATTCATTTCCTGTTAATTTGCATTATTCGCGCTCGACTAGTGGACTATCCATTTCGATTTTGAATTTTACCATTAATATGTATAAAGTGAAGCGGCCTGAAACATGTCTAGATATCAAAAAAAAACTATTCTCATACTTTCATTGATTCCATCCTCATTCATTCCTTTTTTTCTGGTAAATCATGCCGGCAATCATCGACCATTCACTTTCTCGATTAATCACTGATATCTAATTAAGTCCTGCTCCTTTGAAATTTAAGAAATCAAACTCACCTTGTTGCTGCTGTTTTTACTATTCGCAGAACACAAAGGGATCAGCAGTAACGGTACTATCCATAACATAATGGCCAGTGGTATCTTCATACAGAATGGCATGATCGCGCAGAATCAAACTATGGGATGAATATATTGTTCAACAATCACCACAAAGAGAACTGTGTTTTTAATTCTTCTCATGGAGAATGAAGATTTTTACGTGTATTCGCTTTTTCTTGCTCGCTATACTATCCTCGAAGAGGACTGAAGGCTACTAGACAAGTAATCTTGTTAGTTATTGAATTCTTACTCTTTCGAATAAAAAAAAGATCAAAACAAAACAAAACGGTTACAGGAATCAATCCGTTAGGCTTCCGCAATTCTCCTTTTTTCAGGTTTGAGAAATAAAGAACAACCTATGCGATTATAATCATCCTTTGTAAAACCAATTTTAGCTTGTTCGTAAAAACGCGTAAACAGGACGTAGTACTAGATTAAAAATAACAAAAACTGAAAAGATTTACATAGGAAAAAATGGCCATTGCTAGTGAAATATCTTCAGTGGTAAAGCAAACACAGTTGAAAGTTGATAATCTAACCTGAAACGAGCACTTCAAATTGGAAAATTACATTGAGCATCTTAAGAACTGAATTTTTAGCTACTTAGTACAGTAAGTCTAGGACAACTAAAATACATGTACCAACCTTAAATTGCTTGTATGGCTGTAGTCCGGCGTCCGCAAAAAGTGATGAATGGTTTAATATTATTGATCTTTTATGTCATCTTGTATAGTCATCTTTAGAATAAAAACATGTTTTTAGCACGTTCAAAAGCTTGTAGAAAGAATATGTCAAAACAAGGTAACATGTTCTTATTGGTTAACTCACACCAAGCTGACCAATCAAGGCTTTCGTTTTATTCGGTAAGTTACGAGTTTGAAACAAGTTTAAGGACCAGTGACGTAAAAAACATGAAAAAGGACAAAATTCTTATTGGATAAATCATTTCTGGATTGACTGAAAGTACAATGGTATACCACGTTGCAAAACCTCTTTGTCAGTTTAATTGAGTTCAAGATTTTATACCAAAATAATTAAGAAAACAATTATTATTAGTTACGTAATTTATAAACTACAAGTTTACTATCACAGTTTTATTAGTTGGTATACGACTCGGCTCCAAATCGTAGGAAATCCCACCCCTCTTCCCCCACACTGAACTGCAAACAGTGCAATTTAAAAGGTTCGTTACACATACCTTACCACGGCGATACTTAAGACTATTGCGACAAAAGTGGTCGCATTATAGAAAAGTATACAACCCGGTCAGTTTCCTATTTTAACTCATACACGACTCGAATTTTGCTCGAAGAGGGAGTAAGTAGTCAAAGAAATAATTTTAACAGTTTTCCAGATATTCTTTTTAACTGATAAAAGAAAAAATCTCGAAATGAAGGCGAAATTTTATACCAGCTGTAATGTTTTTGGCATCGACAAGAACTGAGCGAGAAAAAACTTCAAATATTTAAGCCTAGGCTTTGTTCTGGACAACTGATCAGTTTTAGAACACAAATTAGGGATAGTCGTCAATATATTTTAAATCAAATTTTGTAGGGTAGTTCTTTTTAAAACGCGACAAGGTTGACTGAGAGACAACTTACCTTTAAGCCTATAGAACATGCCAAACTTGGCCCACCTGAGTACAACTAACCTGCAATGAGGATTAGGGAAATAAATGCCATGTCAAACATAAAAAATAACGAGAAATCGGCAAAAATACAAATGTACAACCCTTACCTTGCTGAATTTTTGTTCTTCAGTTTCTTCGTAACTATTCACTGGGAGTTAAACAAGTTCTCGCACGAACATGTTAAGGAGCATCATGACTTTATTCTACCGAGCACTACCATTGGCTACTTGTGGTTTACCCACTCAGCGACTAGTCCAATGATGTGGCGTCTTCTGCAATGCTTAGAGCTGAATACGTTAAAATCTTGAGAAAAGAAAATTATTCCGCTTTTTATTGAAAAGCAGTGTGGAATTTCTTAACCTTGCTTACCAACGTCTTTTAAGACAACTTAAAAGTAAACTAAGAGCTCATCACCTTCTTTACGGTGGTACAAGCTAATTTTATAATTTTAAGCTATTGAATACAGTCTGTCTTCTTTCATTAAATATCTTTGTAAATCATATTTCCTGCTTATATTGACTTTTGCTGATTAATTTACACTTTTACCTTCAGTTAGACCAGTTGTTAGAAAAAATTAGCCCAAAATAATAGCTTATGGCGGTCTTCGGAACGATTCGATGATCAAAATACATTCGCCTGGAAACAATTGATACGCTGCCTCAATATTCTCAACTTGATCTTTTATTTATCGGCGCAGAACAAAACATAGAAAAAAAGTGTGACACAGTAAAATAAAACTGAGTTTAGAAGAATTCATAAAATAATTAAAGACACTCGTCGGTTTACTTGGTCAGATACCTCCTTCCTAATGTACAAAGATTGAGAAATTGTAGACACTGATTCGACTCCCGCCCGCCAGTGACTATAATTAACACACCTTGCCTGCGTGGCAACAGCTCGCCTTGTCCAATTCCACTTAACGTCTTTGGCCAAACTTCGGTTTGAATTAAATTGAGAGCAGATAACATTTTTTGAGTGAACGCAGGGGGGTG